CTCGCCGGGGCTGGCCGCTGCGCGACGCCGGCCCCGAGCAGGCACAGCAGGGCCAGGCCCGCGATCGTTCCGGCAACGACACGAGCGCTCCCCCGAATCTGCCGCGCGGCGGCGATGGCAGTCCCCCGCATCACGGCAACCAGGTGGCCACCTGGCCGCAAGGGAGGGACACCGACTGCTGGCCCTCGGCGTAGGACACCTGCCGCGCCACCGGATGCGCCAGGCCGGCGACGAATCCGGGCATCTCACGCGCGCTCGCCGGCACGAGCCAGTACGCGCACTGGCCCTGGACGATCGTGTTGATCGACGACACGTTGCTGCGCCTGAGGAGCAGGTGCCGGGCATCCGGCGACCAGCGCACGAACGACACGAAACCGTCGCGCGTGATGCGCTGCAGCGGGCCACCGCGCGGGTCGGCCATCCACAGGTCCTCGCGCCGCGAGCGCGGCTCCACCGCCGACAGCAACAGGGCCCGGCCATCGGGCGACAACGCGGCCGTGGCGAACACCAGACCGGGCTCCGGTGGCGCCAGCCGCCCGATCGGCTGCCACACGATGGGCGCGTTCGCCCCCTGCAGCGGCACCTCGGCTGCCGACAGCTCGCCGGTGATGGCGTGCAGCCTGCGCAGCGATCCGTCCGGCATCCACCAGTGCAGGTAGCGGCCCACATCGCCCTGCTGCACGGCCAGCAGACGCTGGTGGTCTGCCAGATCCACGACGGCCAGCAGCCCCTTGTCGCTCGCCGTATCGACGAAGACGAAAGCCCGCACGCCGGGCGACACGGGCGACGCCAGGACGTCGGTCACGCGGGGCACGCGCGCCGTGTACTGCAACTGACCCGTGGCGGCCGCGTACACCGTCACCTCGTCCTGCTTGAAGCCGACGTTCTGGATCTTGACGTAGTGGCGGTTGTCGCTGTCGTGGCGGGCCTGCCTGAGGTTGAGGTCGGCGTGGTCCTGCAGCGGCGCCGGCCGGTCCAGCTCGACGAGCTGGGCGCGCTCGTGGCCAGGCAGGCTGATCAGCAGCCGCCCGA